AAAGGAATGCATATTAAAGATTTTAGGAAATACTTAATATTTTCTAATCTAAATATTGGTTGGGTTATCTGTGTACAAAAAATCTAATAATTTCTATAATATTTACTTCCATGTGTTTCAGAACTATATAGAAAGAGATATCACATGGTATTTTAAGTGAATAGCCTACCATATTTTTTTTTTATCCTTCCATAAGACTACTATCTTATTTTTTTTTTAACTGAAGTACAGTTGATTTATAATATTGTTTTAGTTTCAGGCATACAGCAAAGTGATTCGGTGATTTTTTTTCAGATTATTTTCCATTATAAGTTATTACAAGATATTGAATGTAGCACCCTATGCTATACAGTAAATCCTCATTGCTTATAAGACTACTACTAATATCTTTATGCTTGTAAATGTCATAGCATTAATTCTTTAGTGATAGGCAGCTTTGATGTGGTTGGGTGTCTTATAATGAAAAAAACTATTTAGACAAGATTAAAATTAAGTTTAAACTGAGGTTAGGTTAAATTTCCATTGTCTTCTCTCCTAACAATTCCCATAAACTTAGAAGATGACTGAAAATGACCAGATAACTGCCCTGAAGACAAATTTCTTTCTCTGCACCATTGCCTTACATACACAGGGTCTGAAAACAAAACCTTGCAATATTCACGCTGGACTTTCAGTAACAAATATGATCAACCTGACTACAAATCTCTGCTCTTAAGCAGCTCAGACTGAAATTCAGTGTCAGATTATCTAGGAAGAAGTGATGGTCAGACTCCAGGCTTTCTGTGCATCCCGGTGAAGCTGACAGGGTAAGCAGTCTTCTACCTGCCCCTGGAAACAGCCCCAGGGCTCTAGGTCAAGGGCCGCCCACGCCGGCGTGTGTAAAGGCTGGACAAGACCCCAGGTGTCTTGTACGCCTGCCACATGAGTCCCTCCCTTCCTAGTTCCTACTTTTTGCCCCAAGGACATCTGGATTTGAAAAACAAAACTGATCCATCAAATGAAACGGCTCTAACAAGAATGTCCATAAGAGCATCAAGAAAAATTAAGGAAAAATATTCTTGAACACTGGATTTTTAAGAAATCAGAGGCTCTTTCCCCATAAAAAGTAAAATGATATAAAAGAAGGAAATTGGAGGAGGGGGGGTGGAGGGGAGTAGGCAATGCCTGTTAAGATTTAGATCTGAAATTATTTTATTGTTCATTTTATCAAACAGCCTCCATCTTTCCACTAGTTTCTTCACCTTATATTTCTCCTCTTTCTGTCTTTACTTTTCTCATCTCCTCCCCTCATTTCCCTATTATTATAATCTGCAGATATGTCCAAAAAAAAAAAAACCACCCATTACTTTTTCAGCGCCTGGGAAGAAATCAAGCACAGATGATACAAAAAAGATGGTTCCTGCTTCCATGTAAGTTACACCAGCAAGCATGCTCTGATTGGTAAATAGTAATGCCAACAACAACAAATTGAAAGAGTAAAGGAAACACAGTTTCATTTTTCATACTAGGAAGGATGATAAAATGTATAGAATCATGGTGGAGATATTTTGTGGCAAGAGTGATGACAGAGAGTTTTAGAGGGGAAATAGGATTTGCACAGTACCTTAAAGGTCTGGAGCAAGTGTAGAGAAGCAGGGTGTTGAAACTGCCTCCTGCTTGTTCTATTTTAGTCCATCATAAAATGAAAAAGTATCCCTGCCCAGCTCCTATCTCCCTGAAGAGTCAGGTGCCCTGGCAGTGAGTTTAGAATGTGAACCAAGGCGATGAGAAGATGTCGGAGGGTTTTTTCCTCTTTCATCTTATATTTTTAAAGCTGTAGGGTGTGAAAAGAAATGGACAGATGAGGAAATCGTTACAACACTGCGTGTGAAAAGTGATAAAGACGAGAATTAAAAGGATGGTAATGGAGATGAAGAGGGGAAAGATTTTGGAGATCTTTATAAAGTAAAATGATAGGACTTGGGGACCATTTAAATATATATATTTCAGACTTTCTCTTTTGCAAAAACGCAAGGCGATGAAACAAGATTTCATTTAGGAAAGGAGGTAGGTTCACCCGTGTAAAGGGTGAATCTGGAGATGGAGAATGAAGACCATCAGTACACAGCATGTGATGATAAGGAACTCTGAGTTTAGAAGTGAGAATAAAACTGGCCGAAGATTGAGGCCCGTAGAACCACAATGTTTAAAAGCAGACAAATACGGAGAACCAGTAGACAGATGAGAAACCAATATATACTCACATATATGTTTTTATGTATAACGAAATAACTAACACATATTGCATATATAGCCCACACATGTATAACTAGCCTGTTCGTGTGTGTGTGGGGGGGGTGTGAACATGCAGAAGCATCTATAGTCTTACAAAGGTTAACTGTCACTGGGAAAAGGACACCAAATAACCCAGAACACAGCAAAGACCTAGCTCAGTGCTGAGTGCTCTGACTCTGGGCTCAGTCTCCTGGGGCAAGGGTGGTAAAGGAGAGCAGACCCCTAACCTCACCTGACCTTTTCCCTCACCAAACGTGTTTCAAATTCTAGCAATAATAAGGATCCCAGGCGGATGTGTATTAGGAAAAATACTTTCCAAAAATCTGTACATCTTCATCCTCACACCCCCAAATCTCTACATTGTATTTAGACCTTTAATAGGATTACCGATCCAATTCCGTTCACAATTAGACTGAACTCCCACAAGTGTGCAGGGCAAAGTACACATTTGTATCATGAGCTATTTATTTTCTGTCGATGGAAAAATGAAAAATCATGTCCAGGAAACGACTCTTAACCGTCACGATTCATAACTCACGTAACTCCTGCATTCATGGCTGTGATGGTACGAAGCTGTAACCTGGCCGTACTTTGTCCAAGCCAGGGATCACTCATCTCTACCTGCATTCTGAACCATCTCTCTCGCGCGAATTATTCAGAAAATTTAAACAAAATGTTGGTTTCCTGTTATCTCAGCAAAGAGGCACAGAGCAAAGTGATTACTGACTTTTATGTAAAACTCAACCTAGCATTGTTACTGCTCTGGGAAAGTTGATCTTTGCCAACATTTATATTTTAGAGATTAAATAAAATATCCAAGTTGTGCATCAATTTATCCATTGATGTCTCTCTCCATCTAGCTCTATTTCTTTATGTGTTTAGAATGCACAATATAAATTTGATGCCTAATATTGCTTATAAACATTAAACTCAATTTAACACGTTCAAATAAAACATATACTCCAGTTCACAGCTTGTGAATAAAAGAAAATATATCATTTAAAGAATTAATAATTCCAAAGTTATGCAGTGAATCACAAAATCTCTCTTGGGACTTCAAAGTATGATAAACAAGATTTGCACACCTAAATAATTATATCTATTTTTTTTTTCCCCAAAAATGAATATATGTTACAGGAAGACTAGAAGAATGTTTGCCCTCAGTGTTTCTCTGAGCAGTTCAAGTTAAAACTTGGTCTTTCAAAATAAATCTTTGTATGCCTATCCATTTATCTATGTTACAAACTATTCAACAAAATTGGTTTAAAGGTTTCTAGATCATTTAATGCTCTCATTTTGAATACAAATTCAAAGATGTTTCTTATAGTAAAAAGTCTTAATAGGCGAAGTTGAAATTTTTATGGTAGTTTGCTCTATGACCTACAAAATATCTCACTTAGAAAGTTTTGCAACAGTTTCTGAGTTTTAATGGAAATTTACTCTGACACGATAATATACATATTACCTTATAAAAATGATTATTCCTTATAATCCTTTAATTATGATAACCAGCTTCATAGGAATGGTAACTTAATAAACATTTTCTATACTAAGGCAAAATGCTATATCTACATAAAAATATTTAATCCATTTTTGCAGTTAAATAAAAAAAATATACACACTGCTTTCTATTGTCTTTAGTTTCACAGAATGTAAATTAACAATGTAGCATGTTCAGAAGAGAACTTCTGTCCTGCCTTTTAGAGAAAAGGAGAGTGGTGGAAAATTTTTTAAAAGGGCATTTCAAAGTGAATTACAATAAGCAAGATTTTTTAAAATATGTTTCCCATTTTTTAACTTATTTAGAAATCTGCAAAAATACCATTTCAAATATCCTTTCGATAATTAAAAAAAAAAACTTTCGATCCTCCACTGTAAGAAGTCATACTAAATATCAACCAAAATGCACTCATGACCCAAACTGAAACCGTTCGAGAAATGTCCGCTAAGTGGACCAGAAGTGTGCACAGATCTGAGAGCTGAAGAGAAGCAGGAGCCCCAGTCAGTTACACTTTCCTATAGAATGCATGTTTGCATGATTCTTAGGAGTTTAAGTATTTTTATCTCATCAAGGCTGTAAGATTTACCCAGCACCCAGGAAGGGCGGTGGCCCCGTAAGTCTATTCAGAGGAAATAATCATTCAGAGGGTTGTAAGGAACAAAAATCTTGATTTAAAATACATTTTGTGATAAAAATTTTGCAAAAAGTTACTCTTTAATTCAATATCCAAATTTGTTAAAGTACCATACAATTAAGTATTCAATAAAGTATTTTGGCCATAATCAAAATTTGAGGAAGCAAACCCCCGGTCCGAAAAGAAGGAGTGGTTTGTGTGCAAGCAAAACCATATTATGAACTTTTTACAAATGCAGTTTTTGTTAAAAAGACCAAAATTTAGTTTTTTGGTCATTCAGATATCTTCAGACTTTCAGCACTGCTGTTGTAACATCCTTGAACAGTTTGTAAACCAAGATACAGATAGACAATGTTTGCCTTTGGAATCGTGATTTTTGGGGCCAAACATGTATGCCTTTTTAAATAGAAACAATGTAATCTGTCACCCAGGGAGCCAAACAACCTTGACCGTTTTACAGCGGGCTTCCTCATCTCTAGTCACCAATACTTCACTTGCTTTTATGTCTATTTCAAACCAATGTCCTTACACACACACACACACACACACACACACGAATAACTAAGGAAATATGAATTTCCTTGTGCTTACCTGCAACAAACACTGCAGTGTCCAGGAAGGCAAAGCCAAATGCCAGAAGTTTAAGCCACAGATACATGGTCATATCTGGAAATCAGCCAAACTCCCGAGAGACAGCATGCGTCCTTCTGAAAGGCAAAATAATGGTTATCTCCGAACCAATGTTTCTCTGTGAGGCCAAATCAAGAAGGAGAGAAGTGAATGCGTACTCTTCAACTGGTGTCTTATCAGACAGGGGCGATTTCCTCCTGCTGCCCTGAGAACAAACCACTTGCTGTGAGGCAGTGATGTCAGATTCAGTTTTACTAACTTCTGCAAAAGGGCTGCAAAGGGTCCTCTTTGCAGGAAGTCAAGAAAGTTGTTCAAAGTCACTGCCAAGGCTTCTTACTTCCTTAATTCAAGTAGACTGAGTTACTAGGCTTCTCAAAAGATTTTCCCTCAAGAAAGATGCATTTTTCGTATCCAAATAATACTCCCGTGCAGTATTCACGATAACTAGAAAATGGCATGCCCCACCCCAAAAAATCTATAACATTCTTACCTGAACAATGATAAAACAGTCAGCACGGGTATAACAAAAATGAGGACTGGCAAGATGATATGCTAATTGAATTAATGACAAGAAAAACAACTGTATTTGTCTTAAAATGACCAAATGAATGAAAAAGCAACTACCTATGGTTATTTTCGACAGCCAGAATCTTTTACCATTAGGGCATTCAGAACCCAGCAATACGACTGTTCGAGTATGCAGCCACTCCCTACGCAAAGCACTCTCAGAAAGCTTAACAGGCTTGCCCCAAACCTGTCACAGATATTCTTGTGGGGCCAGGAATGGAATCAGAAACTCACTTCTCCTGCAGCAAATCATGCTTCAATAAAGGAGTGCCTCTGTGACCTGAGATATTCTTGGTGTTGCTGATGAGGGAAAGAAGAGACCTTCAATCAAGAGCTGTTTGTCACAAAAGTTAACCTTTTATCCCCCCCTCAGCCATACTGTCTCAACCTTTCTGATTAAATGACAGCAAATAAATGCACAACATCCTCTGTGATTTTGATGGTGTTCTCAGTAAGTCCATTAATTAGAAAAACACATACAAGAAGGAAGACTCCATGATATGAGCAGTACAGAACTGCCCTGGTGGCGCGGTGGCTAAGACTCCGAGCTCCCAACACAGGGTGCCCGTGTTCAATCCCCGGTCAGGGAACTAAACCTCACGTGCTGCAACTCAACCATCCTGCACTCTGCAACGAAAGAGCCCATGTGCCTCAACGAGGACCCGGCAGGATCAAACAAACCAATAAATAGCAAACATTTTTCAAGAAGTCAGCAGTACAGTGAAGTGAACTGGTCTCATCATCACAGTGCCTGCAGGCATGCATTAATAAAAACCCTTCTGCACACAAGTCATTGTGCTCTGAACTACAGATCAGGCGGAAGGGACTTGGAGACAGAGCCCTTGCAATCACCTGGCTAGGAAGCACTAGAGCAAGATTCCTGTGAAGTGTGTTCAGGATGAGGAACACATGTAAATCCATGGCTGATTCATGTCAATGTGTGGCAAAAACCACTACAATATTATAAAGTAATTAGCCTCCAACTAATAAAAATAAATGGAAAAAAAAAGAACTGTATAAACCTTTAGATGTTTGCATGCTTGTTTGTTTTTCTCTTACTTTGGCTGGTAGGAACTACAAAGCCCAATCTGCACACCCCCCACCCAACATACACACCCTTGGTACAAATGAAAATAATTCCACCCCTTAATTTCTGAATAGTAACATTCTAATGAGATTCTTCTTATTATTATTTTAAATGATGGTTGTTATAGTAGCTAGCACTACTGCACTCTTACCACATCCAGGAAAACGCTTAGCCCTTTAATCATACAAAGCAATTTGTACAACAAACTTGGAGATAAAGAGATACGTAATTCTTCATCTTATCTGTAAAGTTCAGAGAGGTTAGGTGATTTGTCTGAAGTCTCACAGCTGAGAACTAAGCAAGCTACGTTTTGAACCCAACCTCAAGTTGCATCTTACTTTCCTTATTTGCTTTACTATTCTTTTTTATTTTTATTTTTTCATTTTTCTCATCTCCTTCTCCAATCTTTTTTACTATGTACTTTTCCAATTTTTAATCTCAGAATGATAGAACTTGATGGCATACAAAGGATACAGTTCTCTTTTTACAAGCGTGTTTTTAAATTAAGCATCTGGGCACATCAGCACTATCCTTTAGGACCTAGGCCTAAAGAAAAGCATTGATCTATGTCAGAGGTCACGCATTTTAGTTCTTCTCACCTCAACCTGTTTCTTAAAACACACTTGCAATGAAAATCTATCTGGAGATTAGCTATGAATATCTTTAAGCAAATATCTGTGTTCTGTTAGCTCACTCTTATGCTAGGATATTTGGTAAACTAGAGGCCAGGAAAAAACTGGTGACATGCCGTCTTTTAAAAGGAAGTTCAGTCAAGGCAATATACTTTGAATAAGCTGAAGAGAGAGGATCAGACGCCTTTAAGAGACATTTTTAAAAGGGCTTTGCAGATCACAACTTTGAAGGATAGCAAGAAATCAGGAGATTTAATTTCATTTCAGGCAAGTGGGCAGAGAGAGTCCACCCAAGGAACACTGAGGTTTATTAGCAACAAATGTGTTAGATGATGTTTTTATTTTAATGTGTTAAAATTGAGTTTAGTGCCAACAAGAAACAGTAGACTTTGGGGTAGCAGAATGTATAAGGGATACTAGGAAGGTATAAAGAAATAGGGCCTCATATAGAAAGACAGCAGTGGGTAAATAGTATACAATTCAAGTGCTCTCAGTGAGTTGCCTGGTGGTCCAGTGGTTAAGACTCTGCCTTCCATCGCTGGGGACACAAGTTCAGTACCTCATCAGGGAACTAAGATCCCACATGCTGTGCCAAAAGTTTTATTTTTAAATATTAATTTAAAAAAAATTTTAAGCCAGATATGAAGAAGGAAAAAAGATCTGGCTCAGAAGGAGGTGATAGCCAAACCCTGCCAAACCTCGTAGGTTCTAAGCCACTTATCACTTTATCCTTAGAGTCACAGGAGCTGTTGGCGTGTGTGAAGAACTGTTCCGAGTCTTCTTGCTGATGGCGCCTGCATCCAAGACCTGATCCCTGCACTCACTTCCCTGTCCTCCTCTCACGTGACATAGCAGCATCAAGCACTGTTGGCCTCTCTGCCAACCCTTGTCTCCGGGCAGCTTCCAAAACACCATTCTCTAATTTCCCCTGACCCTCACTGGCTCATCTGCAGCAACTGTCATGAGAGGTCCTTCCTGCCCCGACACAGGACAAGCTCAGGCCAGGACCCCTTCACTCTTCCTAGACAGCGGAACCCTAGCACTCCTGGCGATTCTCGGTAACCTGGCCCATGGATCCACAAACGTCACTGCCAACTGATGCAAAAGATTCAATGCAGATATGCACAAGAAAAGATTCTGCCTAGTGGCCAAGAAACAGGGTAAACTCCTAGTTCAAGTGACGACTTGATCTCCTTAATATGGAGCTAATAATTCTACCTCAGTGTTGCTGTGAAAACTGAATTAATGAAACAAGCATTCCAATAATGGTGTGAACACACGAGGCTACACTTAAAAGCATACACAATAGAGCATGCATCCTGTCCCTCCTTCCAGCCCCAACCAAAAGAGGAGAGCCCCAGAGGAGGCCCTGAGGACCTCACCTCTCCAGAGCCTTCTACACCTCCTCCCGGCAACGTCTGTGGACACAGAAGGAGAGGAGGTGAAAGAGCTGCGCTGACTGAGGTCGAATCGTTCACTCAGCTGGATGGACCTGTTCTTTACCCCAATGTAGCTAGGCAGTTGGGGTACCTTCCCTATATCATGTTAAGAGATGGAAATGAAGATTCAATATGCTTTCTTTAAGTGGTTTAAAGACACTGCAGATGGCAAGATGGATGCATTCTGATTTCAGCCAGATCAAAGTGCTTTATAATATATATATGTGTCTCAGAGTCAATGAAATGCTTTGAAAGAGATGACCCAGGGGAGGGGTATACAATTATTTTAATGAGCTCAGACTTTTTAGTAAACCAATAATGTATTAATATATACATATATATGATCCAGGCAGTGAGTTCTGACAGGTTTCCAAATCTGCCTCAATAAGAAAGTCTTGTAGCTTTTCACAAATTCAGAGAATATTCCACTCTGGCCAGGTGGTCTATGGATCCTACTTTGTCCTTATTCTGTAAGGTCTGAGCCTGGGTATGAGCGCTCTGCTTCAGTCAGATGACTGATGACAAGTCACGTTTAACATGGTTGGTTCCTTTCAAGTCTTCAGGATGCTATTTCTCCCTTTCTGTGTGTCTGTCTGTCTCTCTCTCCATCTCTTACTGCGCCGGCTCCTAGCAATGGATGACTTCCTTTTCTGGGCTCTTCCAGGAGATGAATTGGCTTCCAAATGCTATGAGGAAATATAATATAATGTTGGAAATCATGATGGTGTAAAAGAGAGGACTCTGTACACTCTATTGTATATGTCTTAACTGTAACCTAACATGTTCACTCTAAGCCATGTACTGAATGCTCACTCGATTGATTCAGTTTTCCGGAGTCTCAGACAGTAAAGAGTTTGCCTGAAAGCAGGAGACTCGGGTTCAATCCCTGGGTCGGGAAGATCCCCACGAGAAGGAAATGGCTCCACTCCAGTATTCTTGCCTGGAGAAGCCCACGGACAGAGGAGCCTGGTGAGGTCACAAAGGGTCGGACACAACTGAGTGACTAACACACAGTCTTCACAACCCTAAGTGTTGTGACTTTTTCAACAAGATAGAAAATAAAAAACCAAAAGGTGCTGCACCCTTGGCTCTGAACTGTCACTGACGGCCCCTCATACGGTGCCCACACGGCTGGAGTCCTGCCCGCCGGCACCCACGGGGCCTCCATGGTCACGAGTTGGACCGTGCTCAAACTCCTCATCATCAGCTTCATAGCCTAGCAGCTCTTATAGTTTGAAAATATTGTTAAATAGTCATCGGCATTTTACTTACATTTTCACAAAAAAATTTCTAGAAGTTCATGCTGTAT